GCGATTCTTCTTGGCATTGACTCCACGAGATGTTGAAAGGTGATGCGAGGAATCTGACACCATGCCTGATGAATAGCACTGTCCAGTTCTGTGAGATTTGATGGTTGTGGAACCAGCTGCCTGATGGCTCTTTTAACTTCATCCCACAAATGCTCAACTGGATTGAGATTTGGTGATTGTGGGGGCCACCTAAGCAAGGTAAAGTCTCCCTCATGTTCTTGAAACCACTCCTGCACAGTGTGAGCACCGTGGCATGGCGCATTGTCTTGTTGGAAGAAACCATTCCATTGGGATACGCCATCAACATGATAGGATGAACTTAATCAGCAACGATACTTAGGTATGTTGTGCTATTGGGACGTTTATAATGATCTGGCCCTCTAGCAACTTCAGCACGAAATTATAGCTAATTTGCCTACAAGCGTCAGGTGGTCATAATAATCTGGCCACTCAGTGTATATAGATTATTCCCTTGGGAAATTCACCACCATCATGAGCCAATGTACTGCTGGTAGTATGTCATATTTCTATTGATTTTTTTTTTTTTAAGAGAGAGGAAGGGAAAGAGAGAGAGAAAAACATTGACGTGAGAAAGAAACATCAATTGGTTGTCTCCCACACATGCCCTAACTGGGGATCAAACCTGCAACCTGGGTATGTGCCCTGACCAGGAATCACACCTTTCTGTGTACAGGATAATGCTCCACACAACTGAGCCACACAAGCCAGGGTGTCATATTTTTCAAGGATGTTGGAGTAGGGGGAAACAAGTTGAGAACCACAAATCTTCAAGTTTGATCATAAGATGAATAAACCAATAATAAGTCTTTTAGAAACCCAGTAGGCATAAAAGGCTTCTTGCTGCCCAAAGCTATTTATCAGTTTATTTATTTACTCCTTCATTCCATTAAAAAAAAATCTAGGGGGATACAAAGATAACTTAGACATGGTCCCTTAGAAAATAGGATTTGCATTCACCTTAAAGAGCAGGTAGATATTAAAAATTGTATACATTTAAGGTATATGTTTTAATGTATGTATACACTGTGAAATGATTACCACAATCAAACTAATTAACATATGCATCACCTCCCATTTTTGTCAAAAATAAAAAAATATTTTTAAAAAGAGCACCAGCCCTGGCCAGAGGCTCAGTCAGTCAGTTGGAGGATTCAATTCCCAGTCAGGACACAAACCTAGGTTGTGGGTTCAATCTCCGATTGGGGCACCCAGGAGGCAAGTGATCAATGTTACTCTCTCACATTGATATTTCTTTCTCTCTAAAATCAATAAAAACATTTAATTCTCTCCTTGGGTGAGAATTAAAACATACAATAAGTTGCCTTTAAAAAGAGCACAGGAGAGACCAAGATGGCGGCATAGGAAAACACCGGAAATTGCTGCCTCCGACAACAACTTCAAAAACACAACTAAAAGACAGAACGGTCATCATCCAGAACCACAGGAAGGCTGGCTGAGTGGAAATTCTACAACTAGAAGGAAAGAGAAGAGCACACAGACTCAGAGGAGCTACGAAAGTAAAGTGCAGAGGTACAGAGGCTCCGGCATGCGCGGAAAGGGGCGGGCACCTGAGGACGCGGCTGTCTTTTTGAATCGGGAGAGAGTCACAAGCTCCCAACTGCTCTGAACTCCAGTTCCGGGAAATCTCTGGGGTCCCAGGGCTCATACAGGG